AGAGTAACCTATCAGGAAATGTTTCTAATGCAGTAGTTGGGAAACCTTGGGCCCTTCCACATAGCCATATAATCACAATATCAAGGCAGGAAATCCCACATGTTCTGCTTTGAACTGGAATATATGACAGTGTGGATTTGGATAACCCAGTTCAAAGCCGATATTGTGGGTTATTCCACCTTGATATTCTGTGTTTTATGGCTGTGTGGAAGGGCCCTGAGTGAGTTGTCCTGAGCAAACTACTTCTGAGTAATGCAGTGGCTAGAACCAAAGGTTTTCTCAAGACCATGTCATACAAGAATTCAAAGGAGTTGGTCTTGCCACAAAGTATATGAGCTATAAAAGAGATAATATTATGGACCTATGGAGGCCAGTACAAGTTCAGCCTTTTGATACCATGGAGCAAGATTTGACTGAGGTATAGGCAAGAATGGCACCAACAATCAAATGGGACACGGCACTGATGTCTAGCTCCAAGGATGTTCAGCTCAGCTGATTCAAAGAGCTCCCATAAAGAGCAACAGCAGTGACAAAGCAAGCAGAAAAAAGCAGAAGGTGGTTCCAAAATATTCCAAGAAGTAAAGGAACAGGAATTATGACACCCTTTCCTCATTCAATGTTGTGTTTCTCCGAGGAAGTAAAAGTGAAGGGTCTCTATATGTTTCTCTGTGTGGTTATTTTCCTTTGGTTTGGGCTCTTTGTAATAAAGGTCAGAAAAGGGGCCTCTGAGGACAGTAATATATGAAATAAAAACATGACTGAAAAGAATAAGCAAATTGAGGGGGGTACTGGGTACATCAATGAGGATATTGACCTGATCCACATAGGATCTGACTAGTAATAAATTCTTTTGAGAACACCCAGAAGACCTGCAGGTTGACCATACAAAAAATATTGAGATATGATAAGAAGTTTAGGCTTCAGAAAGCCAATGATATGCCTCAAATGTTTTGAGTGGTAAGGAATGTGCAGCTGTAAGCTGGCAAGAGAAGGCAATGTACAGTTCCCCCAGTGCCATTTTGATAATTTACAATAGTTTGGTGGGCAAGGCCTTCTCAAGGGGCACTGGGCATTGAGTGAAAGCCAGAGCTTCCCTGGAGAAGCTTCAAAAGCCTCACACACGCATCTGGGCACTTTGGGCCTGGCTATCATAATAACTTAGTTTGGTGGCTATAGACAGAAAGAAGAGTTCATGCCATGTGTAAAAATGGGGCACAAGACAGTAGATGGAATGAATATTGTTGCCTCCAGACCAGGATAAGCCCTCAGACACCATGCAGTTGAGTAAGAAAACAATCCCTTTATTGAAGATAATTAAAAAGCAGTAAAGTGTAAAAAGCACTTTAAAGAAATAGGTAAATCTAATTAGGTAGGAAGATAAGCTGGAGCAAAATGGTCCAGGGTAATAGTCCACCAAAGTCCATGAAAAACAAAGCAAAAACTTCTCTAATAAAATCCAAGAAACCAGGATACATGAATCCAAGGCATGAATATAAAATCATAGAATCCGAGAATCAAAACCATGAAACAAAGGCACTTAAACATGAATCTTTCCAAGCAAAGCTTCCAAGAAACAAGGATGAGAACTTGACTTGATTCCAAACGATGCTTCATCTGACTACATATCATGTACTAGGGACTTTTATCTCCTCGTTAAGGTATGTCCCAAGTGCTCAGAAATTGGTTTCACTTAGCTTTGAGTCTCTTATCTTTCTCTCTCTGAGCCTGGCAGAATGTTTGGCTCTTCTGTTTTGACTAATATCCTCCCGTCTATCTATTTGCTTATTCATTTCTGCATCTGGGCCAGGTGCCGAGCTGTTTTCAAGCTCCAAATCATGGAAATTCTCTGGTAGCAATTCAGGGAGCACACCATCATCCCCACACCCTTCAGGGACATTCTCATGGAAAACTACACTTAGAACAGGGATCTCCTGGTCATTCTCTGCATCAATATCATTGACCAGACCATTGCCATCTTGAAGCTCATTGTCATCACTTCCCACATCTAAAGCACCCTGATCCTTAAACACAATCACAGGTTGAGCTCCAACAGATATCTGAAATGCTGCAAAGCCTAGCTAGTCTAATTTCCCTTTTTCAAATTCAGACTGGAAACAGCTTCAGAATGTTCCTGCCTATTTTATGCAACTTTCTTGTGTGCTATTGGAAATGAAGCACAGCTAGTGGTCAGAGCATATGGCTTTTGTTCTGTCTCTTTCTCTCAGTTATGATGGCCATAGGATATGTGAACTACCTGTTTGCAGAGGCGATGAAAAAATACTGCACAGAGAAGCCCAAAGTAATGTTGATAGTTTTGACTGAACTAATGCAAGCTATGCCTGCTTCCAGTTAAGACATTTGTGTGTATGTGTGGTGTGATACACAGTGCATGATATTGGCTGGAGCACTACTATTAAGGCAAGATTAAAACAGCTGCATATTATACTGAAGCACTCTCTAGTCCTTTAACAGACAGACGGTCCTGGATTACAAGCAGCACTTGACCATTTAAATCACTACAGCAACCAGATTTAACCAGCTGGGCCATATTCTCTTAGGCAAGGCCTGTTGACCTCCTTAGTCACAGCTGCTCAAGTAAAATTCTGATTAGACAACTTATTTCCAGAAGCCAAAGGACTCTGATTAAATATTACTTAGACACTTTTAAAGCCTTTAAATGTGCATCCATTTCCTCACAAACACCAGTTGTAATAAGTGAAACTCCCAATCATACATGTGGTAAGGATGACATGAGATAACTAATGACATAAAACATACATCTAAGTGTTTTGCTCTACAGTGCTACACACTGAATGGTTTTTCCCACAGGAAGAAGGCCATATGTTTGTTATAGATAAATGTCAACCAGGTTGTATTGGTCCACTACTGGGATGGACAACTGGCTCAGCATTGAAAGCACATCAAAACTATATTATAGCCAGAAGATCACAACCAATTTGCATATGCTAGTTGTAGTAATTGGTCTTATTTGCATATCATCAATCTGCAAGATGCACACTGCAATTTGAATTTGGTACACTTCTTCTATAATATGTGGTATCCCCAAATATAGGAAAAATGTATCAGTTTTATTTCTAGGCCACCATGGGTCAGTTACAGCCTATAGGCCACCCAGAACCCCAAAAGAGATTATAGAATTATTGAATGTCTACAGTAAATCCTAGGCAGAAACAAAGGCTTCTTCTACAGTGCCATATAATCCACATTATCTACTTTGAACTGGATTATATGAGTCTACACTGCCATATAAAAAGCAATTAATCTGGATTTTAAATGGCAGTGTAGAAGGGGGCACAGTGACATTGTAGAAATCCCCACTGTGTGATGAGGGAAGGAGGGAGGGCAGATGGGGTGCCACGAGCCATCATGCACACCTTTCCTTTAGCAGCCCAACAGCATGGCCCAAAAGAACAGTGTGAAGAGGTGGTTAGTTTCTTTGTAACATGATCAACAACATTTTTATATCTCCATTGTTGTTGTTCATTCGTTCAGTCGTCTCCGACTCTTCGTGACCTCATAGAAAAGGATAAATCCGAATTTAAATTTAAAATAGCTATTTATAGTCTAGCCATCAAACTAGAGCTGACAATGTATTTTGAAAAATGGAGAGAAAAATTAAAACTCTATGCTTAGAAACAGATGGCTAAGAAAAGTGTGGGACATTGTCACTGTGGAGAATTTTGAGATACATATACAGAACATATTTAACTCTGTGTTTGTCATATAAAAATTAAATCATGAAAGGGATGATGAATTTGCCACCAATCTATTTCTAAATATATTTTTCCCTTTCCTTTCCTATATTGATATGGATGATGCTGTATTAGTCCTGCAACTGTATATTCTTAAAACAAGGACCAGAAATACTCAGATGTTGCTCCTATCATCCTACAGCACCACTAAATAGAGATTATGGAAGCTGCAATCCAACAATATCTGAAGAACCTCATGTTCTACCACTCCTTCTTAAAATTAGACATTATTTTGTCTTTTGTCATCCCAAAATCTCTTGGTCTGAATGTGGATCCAGTAACATCTGGAAAAATTAACATAATTTAAATTCTTCCTTGTGAATGGGATCTATGGAAATTTGTAGCAAATAGTGATGCCTCAAAGGCATGTCATGTAATATTTTCCAATATGCTTCAAATGTCCAGGGCCATATACAAACAGATGAAGAAATATAAATATATATTTACTTGTGAGAAAGCCATCTTGTTCCAGAGCCAAATAGCTGAATCACTAACTTGATCCCAAAGGGGAATAGTGACAGAAATAATTTTAATACACTGTGGCATACGCTTAACTCCCTACAAACATTAGGATTAAAACACCCAAAATAGTGTAGTGGGTCTGTAGTATAAATTATTAGCAGGAACTACTAACACAAAGGCTTGACTTGAACTATGAAATGCTTCAGAACTTTACCCTGACCCAAGAGTATCCCCCACAGGCTCAGGATGACATTTAAAAAACAGTTCTCATATTCTAAAAGAAGGACATCTCCCAAAATGGGAAGTCAAAAATTCCCATAAGCAATATCTGCTTATGGGATGTTGCATTCCTTCCAGTCAGCTTTGGCTGTGCAGTCTTGGCTATATATCAAATGTCCCGAAAGTATTACATACAGATAGAGGTACAAATTGGAAACTATGTAATACATGAATTCTTGAGCCATTTTCTAAAAAACAATCTGCCATTAATGCAGTTTCACTATTTATTCCACTCTGTAAAAATCCCAACTAGAATCCTGCCTACGTGCCTACCTAGAACAAAATACAGGCATATCTTGTGCAATATAGCCCTTCACACTAATCTAATCACATGCAATACAGAATTCACCAAGAGATTTGTCAGTGTTGGAGAAATTTGAATATAGGTCCATCATCCTAATTATGACATTAAATGCATACCGTAATTCATTATTTATGGATGAGATTTACAAAGGAAATAGATCATAATATTTAGGCCTGACATACCCTCCTGCTCAGTTCTAGTCATCTCTTCTAGTTTCTTCTGCTTCAGTGTGTCCACCACATCGGCAAGACTTCCTTTGCGGCGTTCTGGAGTTCCAAAATTAACACTGGTCATTAGCTCACGACCTCCTTCTTCGGGCTTATGTGGTGAGGTAGAAGTATTTCGGAAGGAATATAAGGAACATAACTTATTACTTTCTGTCTCCTGTAAAGAAACAAGACAATAAGGCAAAAGTAAATCAGGTTGTCTCTCCTTTAAAGTTCTTTTGTGTTATTATATAACAGAAATTAGATATCTTGTGGAAGGTAGGTTTCAGCCAAAACTGTCCTTAGTTACATTTTCTCTTCTGCTATTAATTTTAAAATGTGCTTCAATTTTTCAGAATGCTTTTGATTGCCCCCTCAAGATTTCAATAATGGCAACTTGAAGCAAATGTGCAAAAGGCTCCAAAAAGGTGTATTCTGAAGAGTGTATTCTGCTCAATGAAGTCTCCCAAGCTGGAGAGCGCAAACATTGTATACATGCCCAACCATTTAAACACTTTACCACCAGGGCAGAATCCTAGGGTCCTTCCACACAGCCCTACATCCCAGAATATCAAGGCAGAAAATCCCACATTATCTGAGTGTGGACTTTGATAACCCAGTTCAAAGTAGATATTGTGGGATTTCCTGCCTTGACATTCTGGGATATAGGGCTGTGTGGAAGGGCCCCTAGATACTCGGTCTGTAAAGCACACCTCAGCTGACTTAACTGACAATAACTCTTGAAAGGAGGCAAATGATGAGCATGTATGAAAACTTTGGCAAGCCATTTAGGAGACAAAGTCCCACGTGCCAATTGATGCTATTATACAACTCTAGAAATTTCTGTGTAAAGTGTGACACCTTTAAAAAAGCCAACTTTCTTTGTGATCGAAATGCATAGGATTTAAATTAAAGCAAGGGGTCATGTTAGCACATTGAGCTTTTTCTTCTAATATGTTTTGGGAACAACTCTCCCAGGATTTTTCAACTTCACTCAGAGCATTGTAGAAAGTCAAAATAACGGTGTTTAAACTTAAACGCATTAGATCAACTGCCTCAGAAAGGACACAACTCCAAAGCCAAAGGACATTGGTTCAAGCCTTCCCTGAGCTTTGCCCTCTCGTGTAGCTCAGTACTGTTATTGAGCCTCCAAGTCTATGTTGAGGGTTAGTGGCCCAGGACAAAAACAAAAAGCATTTGAATGACATTGAATTGGGAGACAATTTTGTTAGCTATTCCAACAAAGTTTCTCCATCACCAAATATGCAAATATAAATATGAAAAACAAAGTTTAAAAAGAAAGGAGTTCAGCAATTTGAACAATTTCAGTCAGATCAGGCCAATAGTGTGTGTTCCTTTGTAATGGAATCCCATGTGGAAAGGTAGGTCCCAGAACCTCTTTATGTGTAGCATGAAGTAAATGTTTCTCATTAATACAGGTTGTCCCCAAGTTACAAACATCTGACTTACAAATGACTTGCAGTTAAGAACAAGGGGTGAGAGAAAGTGAGAGAAATCTTTATCCCCAATCCTTAAATTTGTTTGTAAGTCGGAACAGGTACATTTTAAGTGTAACTCCAGCCACACACACACACATACTGTACACACACATACATGCTTTGGATAGCATAGGGAAGTGTTAATACCCCTGTGATGTTTCTTTTGCTGTCTATGCTCCTGTTCAGAAGATTTCACTTCATTTTCGATCCCTGGATTTTGAAAAAGTTGGCTTGTTGTAGAAACAAGGACTGGTAATAAAGCTTCAGTTGATACACCTTTTCCCCATGATAACTCTTTCAGGAGTTGATTTCCCTTCCAAGGGGTAGACTTCTCTCACTTCCTGTTGTCTCACCCACATTCTTAACTATGATTTGTTTTTAAATTGCATGTTTATAACTTGGAGACTCCCTGTACTGATACGATACTGAAAAACTGGAATCCCTGAAACTCTTAACACAAGTTCTTTATACTGTATATTCATTATACTATGAGATACTGTATAATTTATTTTGTTTTAACCCATTTACCAAGACGTACTAATAAAGGACTGGTTAGGAATTATCCATCCCATAGCCTACTGACCAGGCAGTTAACCTTTTAAAAGTAATTTTATAAAAACCGTCAGCTGACTGACTTTATTACCCAAACTGGATACATTGTGAAGCTGTGAAGTTCTGTTATTTGTATTTTAACATGAATGGTTTGTGTGATGGCAATTGAGACTCATTAATACAGGTTGTCCCCAAGTTAGGAAGTTCTGTTCTTCCTAACTTTCTTCCCTTAAGTAAGGGGGTGAGACATCCAATTACATATTTAGGATTTTTCATACTTTTGAAAGACAAATACGTACTTTTGAAATAAGGTCTATGCAAATTAATTCAGAACATGAAAAATTATAAGTGAAGATATTAATAAAGAACAACTTGATTAATATAGTCCCGTTCAGCCTATTCTAAGTAACTACAAAGGATTTGTGATTCTTTCTGTAATTTCCTCTAAAACTTTATTAGGAATTTAACTTGTTCTCACAGAAAAGGGGAAAAAATACTATCAGTTTCTTGTGAACCTTGAGTGGAAGAGTGTTGCCAAATCAATATATTGGTTTGAAATTACTATACAGTCCGGTCTTCAGGTACATAAGGATTTGGTTGTGCATTGAACTAATGTACAGAAGTCATCAGAAGTTATGGCCCATCATGCAGAGCATCTGATTTCACTGTGATAAATATTATAAAAGTTAATGTAATCCTGGTACCTTTACATTTCATGAGCATTAAAGTTCCTCTGATGTTGTGGATTATTTTTTCCAAATCAAACCTTTGTAAATTATTCAACAAGCACAGCTGATTCAAATTTGGAACCATCCCAACTATTTTATAGTCTTACTCCCCATGGGATCTATACCAGCACAATTGTATGCTCATGGCATCTATTCCATATGGCAGTAACCTATTGCTGGCTACATATATTCAGCACACACATGATGTGTTCATTCTGAGGGAGCTTCCTTCATGACATCTATGCTACATTTGTAGAGATATGCCTTCAGCAATTGGAATCTGGTTGTTCTGATGGAAGAGAGGATAAAACAGCATGAAAACTGCATACTAACATTAAAACCTATCAGGGAGAATCAAGCTTTGTTTTCAGAAAAGAGAAGACTGTTGTGAAAGGACAATAGTACCTACGAAAAGCTTTTGAGGGGTCTCAGTAGACCACAAACCAAACATGAGTCACCAGTAAAAAGCTTCAATAAGAGTGATCTCTGAATATCATAGAATAAATTGCTGCACTACTGATTCCTACTCCTTTGCCATCAATTTCACCACATTTGTCGTGACACAATTTTTGGATGAAAATACCGCCATTGACATTTCTGGGTGAGAGTACCATTAAGTAAATGCCCTGTGATCTACATAAGCCTTAGGTCAAATTAAAAACATCAGAACCAAATATGGAGGATGAGATTCACTATTGACAGCATTGTGAAGCATGCATTCTCACTATAAAGTTGTAGTGGTCAAGGAGTCTCTATTTAGAGTAGCAGAATAAACCATGGTTAGCTGTGGTTACGAAGGCACGCTGATTTAAAAATCATCACTGACTGGTACAACATAAGTCTACCATGGCATGGTTGTCATCACTTAGAATGGAGACAGCCACTGTAAAAAAAATCTTAGAAATATGTGCCTTTTACCAAGAATGGCATTTTAACAGAGAAGAGAAAGCACTAACACACTCTGCCGTACTACATGATTCAACATAATTCATGAAAAATCTACATAATTATCTCTTTTCTAGTTTTTCTAACAAAATAAGGATTTGGTATTTAAACGTCAAATAAATGCATTTAAAATAATTGAAATGGATAGAATAAAAATTGTGCTCTTATTTCAAAAAGACCTAAGAGAGCTTCATTTCTCTTGGAAAATATTTTTTGTTTGTTTATAACTTTAGACCAGAAACCGGTTGATGCATTCATTCTACGTACACAATGTCCAGTTATAAGAGTCATTGGAGGCTCAAAGTCCTTGGAGTGCTCAAAGGACCTCATCAGATGAGGGGAATTTAGCATCCTTTCACCCTGTCTTATGGACAGAGCCCCATGCTAGCCATCACCCCCATTCGAGGTAAAAGCATCGCTGGAAGCTTTTCTCACAACACAGGAGGCTTCCCATTTTGTTTTTTCTGGGAGGGTAATGCTTACTCCATGTGATGGGAGGGAGCTGTGTTCAGAGCCACAGATTCACCCTGCTGCCCCTCTCCTTACACTGTGATGCCAGGTGAAGTGGGTCCTAAGAGAGTTAGTTTGGATAAACACTTGTCATGTGGCAGATGGCTGCATAAGACACCTCTCCCAGAGAACTCTGATTTGTTTATAGGATTTACATCCCACATTTCCCTCCAAATCGTTCCAAGATTACACATCAGACCCAAAATTAATAAGAACATCAGCCCTGGCCTTGTCTTGCTCAACTGCTGAGTATGCCTGCCCTGTTTGGCACAACTCTCTCCATGAGAAGCAGGTGAATATAGAACTGCACAAAACATGTAGAATAACCACATGTCTCAATCCCACAACTGTTGATAGACTCTATAAGTTAGCTGGTATTGCCCCCCACCTCTGAGGTGCAATGGGAAGTTGCTGCTAACTGGGAGAGAAATAAGGTTGAACACTTTGAAAGCCATCAGCTGCATGGCTATCAGCCTCCTCCTAGTTGACACAAATCAAGGAAAAGCTTCATGGGAACCACCACTCCTCTTAACGTTCCCCCATCAACAGCAAGAGTATCCCTGTGGGCAGCTAAACTAGGCAATTCCAACTGGATGGCCCCCCACAAGGCTCTGCCTCCAGGAGCAAACCAAGAATGGGCAACTTGGAAGTCCCTGGACAGACTCAGAAGTGGAGTTGGCAGATCAAAAGACAATCTGGCAAAATGGCACTACCTAGACAAATCCTTCACCTTGTGTGACTGTGGAGTAAAACAAACAACTCCGCATCTGTATGTGCCCACAATGCCCTGCCTCATGCACAGAGGAAGAATTGTTTAAGGCCACAGACAATGCAGTAGCTGTTACCCATTTTTGGTCAAAAATTATTTAGCTGTTTGTGCTCCTTCTGTTTTTTATTGGTTTTATACGTATTTATGCAATGCTTTTGACATGAAATAAAAAACA